GTCGCCAAACTGTTTGGCGACTCTTTAAATAATACGGAGAAGTGCGTACAAGGGAAGCAGGATTAGGTGGGAGACTAACACATGGAACCGGTGGAGCCAATTTAGAAGAAATCCACTTTTTTCTTTAAATGGATATAACTTTCATATTTTTCTTCCATTTTTTTTAAACATATACCAAATTTTATAACTTTTTGTGATCTTTCATATGACACCAATATGTAATATATAAAGTTTAAAAAAAATCTTAAGACATATGGGGTGAAAAACTAATTGCAATTATGTACCGTCAATAAATTTAATTCTCAACCAGTTTAAACCAAAATTATGTATTCACACTGTCAATTCAATTTTTCAATATATTTACCCAATATACTTTTTAGTTAAATTCTTTCACTTTTTAATCTACATCAACTTTTAACCAAAAATTTTTTACGAAAATCTGAGGATTAATTACATGCAGTTCATTACGCTCTATTTTTAAGCTCAAAATATAAAACATTTCAATGCAAAATTCTGTGTATTTTTTAAAAATGTGTATTCACCCTTGCCCAACCCAAAATTTAAAAATGTCTATATTTTTAGTGTAGAAAATTCTGTGTATTTTTTTTAAAATATTCTTTGTACCGGCCCAGTGCCCTGGTTCTGTCCCTGCGTATAATGATCTCATTTTCAGTTATAACAAAGAGTGTCTAAAGTGAAAATTAGGAATTTAAGAATTGAGCGTAAAAAACTGTATGTGATCGAATCCTCAGATTTTCGTAATTTTTTTTTGGTTAAAAGTTGATGTAGATTAAAAAGTGTAAGAATTTAACTAAAAACTATATATTGGGTAAATGTATTGAAAAATTGAATTGACAGGGTGAATACATAATTTTGATTTAAACTGGTTAAGAATTAAATTTATTGACAGTGCATAATTGCAATTAGTTTTTCACCCCATATGTCTTCTGATTTTTTTTAAACTTTATATACGGAGTATTACATATTGGTGTCATATGAAAGATCATAAAAAGTTATAAAATTTGGTATATGTTTTAAAAAAAAATTGGAAGAAAAATATGAAAGTTATAGTCATTTAAAGAAAAAAGTGGATTTCTCCTAAATTGGCTCCACCTCTTTCATGTGTTAGTCTCCCAATGAATCTTGCTTCCCTTGTACTCACTTCTCCGTATTATTTAAAGAGTCGTCAAACGGTTTGGCGACTTTCCCCGACCAAGGTTAAACCCAGCAGTATATTGGTAAATAGTTTTAACCCAACATTGATTCCATAATTAATTAATTAATTCACATTCATCCGGAAAAAAACTCCAAGTTTTTTGGTTGGAAAATTCTTGGTGTACACCTTCTTATACACATTAATACACCACATTGTCTGTGGGAGTTTTTTTGTCTGTGAATGCCAGTTCACAGACAAAACCTGGCTTGTTTTGTCTGTGGAAAATTTTACAGAAAAAACGAGTCAAGCTTTGTCTGTGAACTGGCATTCACAGGAAAAAAAACTCTCACAGACAATAGGGTGTAGTGAACTACTGATGTGTATAAAAAGGTGTACAAAAGGAATTTTTGTTTTTGGTTTCACGGATACTCCCTCCGTAACTTAAAAATCTTCCCACTTTCCTTTTTCGTCCGTAACACAAAAATCTTCCCATTTCTAAATCTTCCCATCATACCCTCAATAATTCTTAAAATAATACACTATTACAACTACTTTTTTTTGGATTTATCCTACATTCCACCACATTATTCCACTATTTTCCCATCATACCCTCAATAATTCATATCATCTTTCACTATTCTTAATCTACCTACTTTTGAAATGGGAAGATTCTAAAGTTACGGAGGGAGTATCTTTGCAGGACATTCACGGTCCTCTAACCGACGCATTATTATGGAGCAAGGACATGGCACTAGCTAGCTCCAAGGGCCCCACTGTCTGTGTCAAAGACTTGGTGGCCGCATGAGTAAAACCGTCTTGGAATGGATGGGACGTAAGTGGTCCACTAACGACGTTGTATTATGTGGTTATGGTTACTGCCCGCGCAACGAAATATATGTGCTTCTATTGGGACCTCAATTCATATCTGCTCCATTTAATTGAAAATTTGTCCTTTTTTTACTCGTATAAAAAGATGTGGAGATTTACGTTCTCACAAAGCCCCTAGATAGATAAATTGTGAACTACTCCTTCTGTCCTAAAATTATCGTTTCTTTACATTCCTTATTTGGTAAATAAATCTATACCAAACAGTGTCAAACAGTGCAAAATAGTACTACCTCCGTCCCCCTAAGTTTGGGACAAGAGAATGTGACACGGTTATTAATAAAAGTGGTTTATGTGGTTGATATTGAATTGATAAAGTAAGAATAAAGTATGAATGATTTAGAACCACACAAATTTTACCAAATAAGGTATAAGACAATCTTAGTGGGACGGACCGAAATGGTAAAATTGGACAATCATAGCGGGACGGAGGGGGTATCAAATAGTGTTGCTACAGTGCCAAACCGTATCATTTTCTTAATCTGTGTGAAAAATCAAATAGAACAATAATTTTGGGACGAGGGAATATCATTGAGCTACTCCGTAAAGGTAGAGAGAATATGAGAAGCAAGACCTCTCTCATTTCTTTAGTGGAAATTGAACACAAGACCTCTCAGGGATGAGAGATTGTGGATCGTCATCCATTGGACTACACCCACCTTTCTAAAAAAAAATATAAGTAAAACTTAACATAGTTTGTGAAACAGAAGCACGTTTTTAGTCTCAAATAGGATTTGTTTAATCCAATTTTGGAAGTTTTTATTATACTATTCTTAAAATAGAACTACATAAATCATAGTTTGAGAAAGAATTATCAAAACATACTTAATGCTATTTACAATTTTATTTATATCTTACTGTTATTTTATTTTTTTATCATTAAATTATTTATCATTAATTTATTGTCCTCATTTTTATTGCTTTTAATTATTTGCATACTCCCTTTGTCCTAGCTAGCTCAAAGCAAGCATGCATTTTACTACTCTTTTTGTCCCTTAAAACTTGGTGATTTGTGATTGAGATATAAATTACAATTGTGTGATTGAGATTTGTGCAGAACAGACAGAATTAATTTAAATTACAATTTTTTATTTCATTATTTGAAAGAAAAAGTGAAAAAAGTTAATCAGATAATCAAAAAAACAAAATTGATAAATTTTTAAAGGACAAAGAGAGAGTAGTATAATAAGGATATCTCTCTCTGATCTCATTCCTCGATTTGATTCTTGGTGTTGTATTTTGTGACCCGTGAAACATCCTTGAAGAAAAAAAAACCAATTATTGGAAATTTGGAATCACTACGTACAAACACCGTGTTTGGCCGCAAAGAAAATTTTGGAATCACTAGTCTTCAATCTTTATTTAATTTCTTCTTAAATAAGTACTCCATATATGATTCCTAAAAGTCCGTTTGGTAACACTAAAATTGGTTGAATTGGCTAATTCTGCTGAAATTAATGAAATTCTGGCTGAAGTGGCTGTATTGGCTGATTCTGCTGATTCATGAAAAAATTATATTAAAAATATTTGTTATTAAAAATTAAATAAAAAATTATATGAAAAATAGCTAAAATGATCCTCTACCCGTACTTCAGCCAATACAGCCAGAAAAGTAACTCCAACATTACTTTTTCTGCTTATTACAAAATTCAGTGCGTGAAATCAAAAGTTACGTGTTTGGTGAAAAAACTGGCTGATAAGTCTGATAAGCCGAAAAAAGAGGTCACCAAACGGGCTCTAAATTTATACTATTCACATGCTCTATTTTAACTACCATTTATTTATTACGGAGTAATATATTACTACTTCGTTCCATTAAAATTGGGACATGAAAAAGTGATACAGTTATTAAAAAATGAGTTTATGTGGTTGAAATTGAATCGTTAAAATAAAAATAAAGTAAAAATGATTTAGAACTACATAAGGTTTACTAAATTTTGTACATAGTATGAGATAATCTTAGTGAGACAAACCAAAAAAGAAAGATGAGACAAATCTTAGCGGGACAGTGGAATTAATAAATTATTTTAAAAAAAATATATTGTCAAGTCTATCCAATATACTTCGTATATTATATAGGTCGAGACTAGAGAAAAAAAACATTCTAACTTCATACTACCTCATCCGTACTACAGGCAAGTTTTTGCTACCAAGTACTACCTCCGTTCTTAAATAATGCAACATATGGAATTTTACATTATTCACATGTTCTATTTTGACTACGTTTTATTTAGTAATGTATGAATATATTTACATGAAAAAAATATTGTTAAATTTGTCTCATTGTAAATTTTCAATATCTAATTTTTTAAATTTTTTTACGAATATAAATTTATATATATTAATGGTCAAAGTTGGGTGTCTCAACAAGTATGAAATGTTGACCGTTGCATTTATTTAAGAACGGAGGAAGTACTACGTATAATCTTTGCAAACTAAATCAAAGTTCAAACAATAAAATACTTATAATAATTCTACCCGAAGTTATCGAACTTAGCTTCTGATCTTATATACTACGTACTACGTATGTTTTTTTTATGTAAGAACATAAATTTATCGTAACATATTATTTCTTCGTAAAAACGGATTGAATCAGCTAGAATCGGAAAACAGTGGATTTTTCTTACTTGGTGTTTCTATGTTGCTACACTTATACCGATAGCTCCTCTAATCTAACCGTTAGAACACCTACGTAATAATGTAACATCATAGGAGTAATACGTAGTACGTATTATGGAGGTTGCCTTTGTTCTTTTTATTTTCAAGATTAGACAACACAAGATCGTGGGAATAATCGATATGAGAAACTAAAATGACACTTCGTCCCACTAACATTGAGACATGAAGAGAGAGGTCCTATAGCGTATATACCACCAAATTTATTATTCGTACAAAATAAAAACGTACATAATTAAACAGCTAGAGTTATAAATTACATAGACGAAGTATACGTACGTACCTTAGTATCATCTGTCTCTCCGTCACCCTTTGCTCCAAAGTCCAACACATTGAAAACCGAGCTGTCATTGTCGTCACTAGACGGTGGAGGCGGTGGCGTAGGCGAAGGCGGGGGAGGTGCGTAGGGTTTGTGCTTGGGTTTTCCGGCGGCATTGCCGTGTTGGTGCTTGCCGCCGCCAATATCTTTGTAGAGAGTTGGTGAGGTGGCACCTCTTGTTGCCCTCCAATGTCTTCTTCCATGGCAGCTGGTCGAGGAAGACCAAACAAGAAGTGCAACCATTATCACCACAGATGTAGTGAGGCTTCGGAAGCTAAAGGCTTTCATGATCAATGATAATGCGGCCCGTGGCCGGGTAGGGTACTATCCTGTCATATGCATGCCACTTAAATAAATGCACACAACATATAGAAGATCACATGCTGATGAGTGTCAGTTTTTATAGGCCGGACGGATGCATTTACTTACTACTCCCTCCTCTCTCTAATATTCATATCTTCTCACTTTCTTTTTTTGGACGTACTCCGCAACATTTATATCTTCCCATTTCTAAATCTTCCCATCATACCCTCAATAACTGAAAAAATAATACACTATTACATCTACTTCTTTTGGATTTATCTTTCATTCCAACACATTATTTCATTATCTTCCTGTCATACTCTCAATAATTTATACTCCCTCCGTAACTTTAGAATCTTCCCATTTCAAAAGTAGGTAGATTAAGAATAGTGAAAGATGATATGAATTATTGAGGGTATGATGGGAAAATAGTGGAATAATGTGGTGGAATGTAGGATAAATCCAAAAAAAGTAGTTGTAATAGTGTATTATTTTATAAATTATTGAGGGTATGATGGGAAGATTTAGAAATGGGAAGATTTTTTTGTTACGGACGAAAAAGGAAAGTGAGAAGATTTTTAAGTTACGGAGGGAGTATCCCCTTTCACTATTCTTAATCTCACCCACTTTTGAAGTGAGAAGATATCTACTTTATATACGAGTATAATATAATAAAGGAATCCCATGGAAGAACAATGAAGGAAGTTTTGACATGTGGCATCTCATTTGAAGCAAAAAATTGACACGTGGCATCAAGTTAATGTCAAAAATTAACGAAACCTTAACGAAAACTTATAGGCACTCCTCCCACTAGGACATTAAAGTTTTAGGATAAATACTTAACATTATATGACATTATGAAGGAAACCCTTAAAATGCCTAGAAGTTTTCACATGTGGCAGCCCCTTTGTAATAAAATTAACATGTGAAACCATAATATGTCAGCCTGAATAAATAAAAATATTTGTTATCTACTGAAAGGAAAATGCACTAATACATCTCATATGTCCGCAGCATTTACAAGCACTGTAAGAAAAATTCTTTTGACCTTCCAATATTCCTCCAAGTGGGTATTTACACATGTAATCTTACATACATTAAACTGATTAAAGTTTAATCAGGCTACATACGTAAGATTATTAAGGTGATCTTATCCTACTATAGTTGCTTCTTCAAACAATGTACTCCATGTAAATAGACACCGTACAAGAGGAATTTAGATTAAAGTTTATGTATAAATTTAAACTCATATGTTTTATGTACAACTACTTAAATTATTGAAAATACTAATACCTACGTCACACTACTATTGACAAGTTTTAGTTGATATTGAATTAATAAAATACAAATAAAATAATAATATTTTAGACCGACACAAATTTTATCAAATTTGGTATGAGATAATCTTAATGAGATTTCTCCAGAAGGATAAATGAGACAATTTTAGTGGAAGAGAAGGAGTATGAATTACAAAAGAATAGTATAAACGAAGAGTCCATTTCGTGCGATGGAATTGGCTGAATCGGCTAATTTGTTAAGTTGATAAAATTCTCATTGAAGTGTTTGAAAAGTTGAAAATTTATGAAACTATTATTTTTGAAATACATTTTATTAATGAAATTAAAAAAAAGTTACTCCGTATATTGAAATAGCTCAAATATCATTTTGAGTAATTTCAGTCGATTCAGACACAATTGACTCAAAATGAATTAGCTAAAAAGTAACATCAAATTTACTTCTTTTGTTGATTACACAATTTCATTTTGAAAAAAAATGGCGCTTATTACACAATTAGCGCACGAAATCAAAATCATGTTTTTTATTTAAAAAAATCGAATGACAATATATGAACTATTTTTGGCTCCTTAAAATAAACACACATGGCTATACATCGTTTCCCAAATTTCAGTACTTACTCATTCATCATGTTTTCATAAAACTAAGTTCATGCCATATATTACATTAAAACAAATCAAACTTAAACAAATCAAATCATATCAAACATAATTAAAAAAAAATAAACAGACTACACCATAAAATTTAAGTCTAACTGAAAAAATATTATAGTAGTACAAAAATTGCAAATACTCAAAACTAAAAAAATAACAAATTTCAGCCCCTTAAAATAAAAAAATATTCCTCTCATAATTCTTTAACAAAATCTTGGGAGTTTTAAAGGCTGCCCCGCTGGTCAATGTAAAAATATACATGAAAAAAGATCTTGAAAATAATTACCCTAAAATAAGAATTATCTTGAAAATCGAATGGTAATATATGAATTATTTCTGGCTCCTTAAAATAAACACACATGGCTATACAACGTTTCCCAAATTTCAATACTTACTCACTCATCGTGTTTTTATAAAACTAATTTCACGCCATATTACATTAAATCAAATCAAACTTAAACAAATCAAATCATATCAAACATAATTAAAAAAAATAAACAGACTACACCATAAAATTTAAGTCTAACTAAAAATTTTTTACTCAATTTTTATTAAATAATTTTCTATTTTTTCCAAATTATGATTATTGTAGACCTCTATTTCATTCTTTTTCCAGTCACTTCTTTTCCATTTGTTCCAATATGTTTGTCTCATAATCGATATATCTTCTAAATCATTATTCCTTTGTTGTTGTTGTCATTGTTGTTATTATTATTATTATTATTATTATTGTTGTTGTTGTTGTTGTTGTTGTTGTTGTTGTTGTTGTTGTTGTTGTTGTTGTTGTTGTTGTTGTTGTTGTTGTTGTTGTTGTTGTTGTTGTTGTTGTTGTTGTTGTTGTTGTTGTTGTTGTTGTTGTTGTTGTTGTTGTTGTTGTTGTTGTTGTCGTCGTCGTCGTCGTCGTCGTCATCATCATATCGAATGAATATCAATAATATAAGTTTTCTTTTCTTAATAACACTATTGCATTCTTCTTAAGTTCAATATAACTCATTGGTTTGTTAATCACATCATACAACTTCATACCCCTACTATCTTATTCTTTTTTATATTCTTCTTTTGCATTTTTCCTAAAAAACTTTAACGCATATCTTACCGTGCGATGCACGGGTAGACACACTAGTATGTGATACGGAGGGAGTACTCAATACTGTTTGTATCTGTCATACAAAAAGAAAAGAGTCCTTAGCTTCCTATTTAGAGCCCGTTTGGCAACACTAATTTTCGCCTTATCATGCTTATTTATCAGCCAACTTTTTCACCAAACACGTAATTTTTACTTTCGCGCGTTGAATTGTGTAATAAGCTAAATAAGTAAGGTTGAAGTTACTTTTCTAGCTGTATTGGCTAAAGTTACTGTAGATGACCATTTTAGCTATTTTTACATATTATTTTTTCTTTATTTTATTAAGAAAATATATTTTAAAAATAATTTTTTTTAAATCAGCAGAATCAGCCAATGCAGCCACTTCAGTCAGAACTTCATAAATTTCAGCAGAATAAGCCAAAACAGCTGATTTTCGTGCTATACCTACCAAACGGGCTCTTATTTATTTATGGATTGGAGTATTCATTTTTGCTTCATTCTTGATTGGTTTGCAATTAGCTTAGCCCTCACTAATATTTACTCCAATAAGGCCTCCAACATTTTCGGCATATGCAAATTAAAAAGGTAAATCAGTCAATCAGCCAATGCAGTCACGTCAGCCAAAATTTCACAAATTTCAGCGGAATCAACCAAATCAGCCGAATTTCGTGCTATCAAACACACTCTTAAATTTATAAAATATGATTAACTTCCACTAGACCATCAACAACAAGCAACTACATGGTGAAGCTGGTCCTTCGACCAACAGTCATAATAGAAATTACTCTAATTAAGTGCAATTGATAAAATAGTAATTATTCCATATAGGACTAAAACTATGGCAAAACTTCAAAATAGGACTTGCTGTGTTTTTATTCCAAAATAGGATCATATTAGTCCTATTAGAAACATACCTATTTTTTCATTCCATTCTTACCCTTCCTTTAAATATGAGTAAAAGATAATCAAAAGTCATATTTAAATGTCTAATTCATAATAAATTCGAAAAAAAAAACATATTCAATGAAAAAACATTTTTCACCTTACTCCTATTTCCAAAAGAAAAACATAACAGTATTATTTTGAAATTCTAAAATATCTTCACTCATTTTTCCATTTTATGTCACGCCCCGGACCTACTGGACACGTCAACAACCCGCCGTACAGTACGAATAGTCAACCGCAGTCCAACTCATCCATACTATACTAGGCGTCTTGAATACCATTCACACGTAGTACATCCATAAACAATCATAACGTAAAATATTTAATTAAGCAGCGGAAACATAATTACAAATATTCAAGCCACACGTGGCAACCACGGGCATACAAGCCCCCAAATAAATATTCGAAATAATATCCATGAGCATTATTTAAATTGTTTTCAAAACAGAAACAGGAGAAGTACGAACCCCGCCTTCCTCCTTGAATTCCCCGAAGCAACGAGCGGTAGTAGCAAGCTCTACTCCCTACCTGAAACTGTGAGGTGGCCTCCCCCGTGAAGGGGAGGTCAGTACTTGGAAGCATTTGACAAGTACAATGACAACTATACTAAGTATAATCAAAGTTTCAATTTCCAAGACCCTCAATCCAAGATGTTATTCATTTGTACTTAACTCATGTTCCTTCATGCTAGAGCTCGGCTCATAGTCATGCTAAATTGTGCTAGAGCTCGGCTCATAGTCACACTACATTCGCTAGAGCTCGGCTCATAGTCATACTAAAATTGTGCTAGAGCTCGGCTCATAGTCACCCTACGTTTGCTAGAGCTCGGCTCATAGTCATACTAATTTGTGCTAGAGCTCGGCTCATAGTCACCCTACGTTTGCTAGAGCTCGGCTCATAGTCATGCTACCACGTGCTAGAGCTCGGCTCATAGTCACGTCAACTAATCCCTAAACCACTTCTTAGTCTAGGTTCCATCCATTTTGAGTAACCCTTAAGGCCTACTCCAAATGTAACTTAAGTTCATAATAATTTGAATATCTCAATTAAATTCCACATTCAAGTATAACTTGGCTCTAATATCAAAATATCACT